GTTGTTTATTTCTACTAAATTTCTCCTAGATACATCGAAATTTGATAATCATTTAATCACACACCCCGCAGTTGCACAGCTGTATATCTGCAGACTTACAGCGCTAAAAACCGGGTTTCGATACCCGTGGTTGGCAAAGCACAGATAGCCCTTTTTGTAGCTTTGTGCTTAACTACAAACAAACAATTTAATCACACAAAACGAATAAAGATAGCTCTTGTTTACGTCATAGTCAACTAGCAGTAATAACTAAAACACGAAAAATGAAAGAAATCAACCGTTGTGAAAACCATTTACGGTACATGTATAATGTTATTTATTGCTGTTGAGCAGCTACACAATTGATTATCTGTGATGTGCCCACAATGGGTATCAAAACCCGGTTTTTAGCGTTATAAGTCTTCAGACTTGCCACTGAGCCACTGAGAGCCACGTATAATACACATTTTTTGCATAACTTAAACATTTTATGGTAGCATCAGGTAGTGTGTGCAATTAATGAATTTTTAAATTAAGTCATTAGAATATTAGCATACAAAAGCAGTTGAAGTACGATAAAGCTGAAATTAAAATTTCTTGGTAACATTGCAGTAAAACAAAGAGAAACATGTGATGAATATCTGAGCCACATGATCTGCATTTATGTCTTACTTAAGATAGTTTGGCCGAGATGACAATCCCATATTTCTCGATCCTCAACCCTAATTTCAACCATTTCTTTGTATTTGCAAATACTAAGACACCGTTGACTGCATATAACAAGAATATATTTGGATGGCACTAGAGTCTCAATAAGTTTAGCTAATGTTTGAAAACGGCATCTCAAATACTTTTTTATTCATTCTTGTTTAGACGATAAAATAAGAAAGACGTAGCGCCTTTTTATGTTTCGCAAGAGAAATATTTCTTTGAGGTCAAATACCCAATGTCACATGTATTATTTAGCTGAGTGATGCTGATAGAAATACATAAAGGCCAAAATAAACAGGTGAATTCAATATTGCTAAACAATAGCAAATATGAGATAGTATTATTTTATATTTTTTAATCCAACCAAACAAAAATCGTACAGAAAATAAAGATATCTTTATTTTATTTTTATTAAACGGTACTTTGGTGTAGTTGAAGTGTTTTATTGCTTACAACTACATTAAGAAAAAAACGCACATTCTTGAGAATGACACTAACACAAAAATGCTGATAACAAAAAAGAAAAAAAAACGTTAGCGTTAAAGCTTGAATTTTCTGGTTACGTATCATGTGATGGCCTTGCTTGACTTGGTGGTGGAGGCGCCCGACTCGCAATCTGCGAGTCGCGAGTTCGAATCCCCTTCACATCAAACATGCTCGCCCTTTCAGCCGTGGGAGCGTTATAATGTGCGATCAGTCTCACTATTCGTTGGTAAAAAAGTAGCCCAAGAGTTAGCAGTGGGTGGTAATGACTAACTGCCTTCCCTCTAGTCTTACACTGCTAAATTAGGGACGGCTAGCTCAGATAGCCCTCGTGTAGCGATGCACTAAATTCATAACAAACCAAATCAAACCTGGTGGTGGTTAAAGCGGTCGACTCGCACCCTGAGAATCGCGAGTTTGAATCCCTGCCACCGAATGTGCTCGTCCTATATGGTTGATGAATGAGATAGCCTCTCGGGTGTAAAACTTCTTAACTTTTAGAAATAATAGCCGACCCCCTAATTCGATGGTACTGAAATCTAAATGGAGTGGAAAAATCTTATATGAGGATTATACATTCTTAGGTAATCACCCAAGTAAAAAAACAACAACAACAAACAAACACATATATACAAATTGTGATACCGACAAACAGTTCTGTATATTATTATCAGAAGGTATATTTCATTCGATTTTGTAAGAATGCCTAGTATTATTTTGATATTATAATTTTTATTGCCAAGCTATGATAATCTTTTTTAATGTTATGCTGGTAAGCTTAAAGCTGGAAATAACTTAGTGAATATTTATTTTTAAACCTGAATAGCAATAATAAGTTTTAAGTTCCAGTCACAAGTTCCTTAACTTTCAATGAAGTAGCAGTATATTTTTTCTTGTTTAACTGTTTTCATATTTCTGTTTAATTCCAGAAAGTCGGGAAAAGGCTTATGTGTATGCAATATCATCGTCAGGAGTTGCTTACAGCATTACCAGAGCTTGTAGAATAGGGGAGTTGCCAGACTGCGGCTGTGACAACAGAATCAGGTCACGAGATACAAAAGGCCGATGGAAGTGGGGCGGATGCTCCGACGATATCATGTTCGGATCAAAGTTTAGCAAGGACTTTGTCGACTCTGGAGAAGATCGAGAAACACAAGAAGGACTGATGAACTTACACAATAATCGGGCCGGAAGGAGGGTAAGACTTACTGAATATCGGGTTATCAGAATCGCTTGTTGACAATTAAATTTGAAAAATCAAGTAATCACTTACAAGCACGGTAATTCCATGTCAGATTTTTTTGTTTTGATTCTGCATCGGTCGGTTATTATATAACCAATATTATTGTTACATAATTTACAAAAAATTAATCTAGTGTAAACAGAAACATATAAAAGTATTTCTGAGAAAATTTTAAAAAAATTATGACGAATAACATTCGGTTCGCGTTTCTTAAAGTGTAAAATAGTAAATATGGAAAACATTAGGACGTCTATCAAAAATTATATACAAATTTATCTAAAATAATAATGTAAAACAAGTAAAGAAAAAACTTTTCAAAAACGGAAGTAAATGTAGGGATGGCTAATATCAGTTCTTCAAAAAGTATGCAAACAAGATAGTAGGGCTAGCATTTGCATCATCCCTACATAAAAGCACAGGTAAAAATTAACAATATATATATAACTAGTCAATCACAAGTGAGTTTAATTTATCCTATTTTTATCTGTTAACATTCTACTACACTGTGTGTCTGTGCTATTATGTAGAGATGATGCAAATGCCATCCCTACTATCTTGTTTGCATACTTTTTACTTCCTTTTTTGAAACGTTTTTCTTTACTTTTTTGCTTGTTTTTAAATGCAGTGTTTCAATAGACATAGGAAGGTTGTATTTATAACCAAGCGGATACTCCGTTTGAAACTATGTCATCTCAGAGAAATTGATTGACACCAATGTTTGGTTTTTGAGTTATCATGTAATAGAAAAGAAGCAGAAGAAAGAAGAACAGGGAAT